CAAGGCTCATTTGTTTCCTTTATCGCAGAGAAACTAAATGTGGTGCTAAGCGGTGACGACGCGTGGAACATGCATGGTTTGAAGTGGAGATGGCTTTGTTTTTGGTCGGGCTGGACATCATATGAATCGTATTTGGAGGCCTTAGAGCTCAGGGAAACAGATTCTTGCATGAACCTTAAATCGTATTAATGTAGTGGATCTTACTGGGAAGATTTGGATGGACTTTGCTTCTCTTTACCTTGAACCTTGAGGATTGAAAGATGTACATAAAGGGGACCAAAGTACAGGACAGCAGACGAAGTAAAATAAAGTACAAAGCAGAATCTCGGGAATCGGATTGAGAAAAAGATTTGTTGTTCGTTCCATGGAAGATTACATAATCCACTGCTGCGCCTCACTTACTTACTGGGGCTGCAAGGTCAATGCAGCCAACCGGCTTGGCTGTCTTTCCTTGCCCTCCATTTTAACGGTCAGGAGTCATTAGTTGGAAACCAGTACCGGCATTTGAGAACATTCCGATATACAGACGCATTCAGCAAATCGTATTCAGTTGGTCAAGAAGTGTCATCTATTCCACTCCGCCCGACCAAGGAGAATGCATTGCCTTACTCCGTAATGTCGTCAGAATTAATCAATTCCCATAGAAATTTTCCGCAGAGCTCCTCCTTCTAGCATATCCTTACCGACCGTTCCGAATAGATTTCTTAAATTAGAAAATTAATGACGCTATGTTAAGGTTAACAGAGTAAAGTTTTTTCATACCAGCATTCACCCTAATATACTTTTATGGAAGCTTCTAGGGAATGCCAGCTCATGCTCTTTATAAAAAGGAGTCTCGTATTGTATCTTGTTTTATTGTATTTTGATTGCCGCGCGATTCTAAGAGTTCTGCATAGAAGGTTAACCGATATCCCTACTACGTGCACGACCCTACTATATGCACACTTTTTTTATATCAAAACAAAAATCAATTTAAAATTTAAAAATCATTATAATAATATAAAATTTAATTCAATAATTAATTAATATTATCAATTTCAATTTATAAGGATTTCGAATTATTAAATTAAGAATTGATTGAATAATTAAATAAAGAGAATATAGAATCTTGATATATAATTTCTTAATAAATAATATATTAGAATCTATTTATAGAATTATAATAAATTTTTATAGATTTTTTGATATTAATAATATTATAAAAAAATCAAAAAAATCAAAAAAGTAAAAAGAATTAAATTTAATATAGATTCTTAGATTTTTCTAATGATTTATAATATTTTTAGAAAAGTTAAAAATATTTTTTTAAATGAATTTAAATTTTATATTTAATATTAAAGATTTAAAAAGTAAGTTTTTAAAAAAGGGATTATATTAAATATTAAAATATATAGAGTTTTGATTAATAAAAGAAAATTATTTAAAAAATATCTTTTATTTTTGAAATTTTATTTTAAAATTATCTAAATCTTAATTCTATTATATATAATAAGATTCTAATTATATAAAAATTCTTTTAAAATAAAATTCTTTAAAAAGAATTTTTTTTTCAATTCAAAATATTATTAATTCATTTTTAAAAAAATTATTTTAAATAAAAATTGATTTAATATTAATTAATAATTTAATTTTCGAAATTTAAATTTTTTTATTAAATCAAAATCTGATCAATATAGTTTCATTCTTTAATAATTGATTAAAAACTATATAACAAAAAAGTTTAAGATTGAAATTTCTTAAAAAAATTAATAAATACTTATATTATATTTATTATTAGATTAAATCAAATTCCTAATAAGTTTTTATAAATCTTTATTTAAATTTAATATTAATAAATTATAGATTTTAATATATTTATATTTTTTTTAAAGATTATTGTTATTATATAACTTAAAAATAGAATAAAATATTATAAATTCATTATTCTATTAATAATTAATTATTAAAATATTTTTTATAAATATATTAGAATTTAATATTAATATAATTTCAAATTTTCGATAAAAAACTTTAGTTTTTTTCAAATATCTTATATTATAATATATAGAACTTCATAATTTCATTAAAAAAAACTTATATTTTTAATTATATTATAAAATATATTAATAAATAAATAATTTTTTTTATAAAAATTAATATCTTATTTATCATTATTATTATTATAATTTTGAGATTTTTAATTTTTTTATTTCAAAATATTATATAAGTTTATTTCAATTATCTCAATTTTGAATTTCAAATTATAATATCGCTTTTTCAATTTTTAATTCAATTTTCTATATAAATAATAAAAGTGTGCACATAGTAGGGTCGTGCACGTAGCAGGGATATCGGTTATGTTAATAATTCTTGAAGATTGACTTGGCAAAAGTTCGCTAGAGAAATGAAGGGGTGGTAAAGCAAATACATAGATAAGCTGCGCAAATTCTGCGAGTAAAGCCAAATCTCTGTTGTCTTGTTATTTTCTCGGCTTTGATAGGTATAAGATGAAAGGAGCAAAGTGCTAAATTCCAAAGGTAAAGGGTGTAGCCGCAAATCAGAAGAGAAAGATCGAACTCCGCCTTGGTCTCTGCACATTTTTCACGCTTTTGTTGATTAAAAAAGATCTTTCAGTACTTCGGAACCTCTTTTGTTATCGACTCTAATCCTGTAAAAGTAGTCACTCTCTCCTTGATTTGGGTGCTTCCCCACAGTCGTCGTTTTCTCTGAAAGCGTATCGTACTCGATGAGTGATGTCACTGGCGCTGTGAGCATCCGCACGAGCGATCGAATTTTCCATGACAAAATTGATTTTGAACGGCTGCCCCTTCTTGACAGTTCTGCGGGGAGGCCCCAATGAACTCGCAGTCAAAAATTTCTCCCTCCATCAATTCTGCATTAAGTCGATTCTATTTACTTGGAGAACCGAACCGTTTTAACGAATCATAAGAGCCTAACCAGATCCGCGACTCACAAGACTTTACTAACAAACTGTGCTTCTTGGTCAATTTCACGACCTTGGCCACTCTATCGGTACACTCACTTACGTGCTTAGCCTCCTCAGCAGCACGAAAAAGTGAGTTGCAAACGAGGCAATTCGCGTACATCACCGCTAGCTAAAACACGTTTTATCCTATGAGCCTGTGAGGAATAGGTAAAGTACAATCCGTCACTTCCCGAGGATCCATTGAAATCACGAATTCGCAGTAGCGATATTGGGCATCTTCAAGTCAGCACCAAAGTTGACATTCACAAACTGTAGCCTCATATCAATGTGAGAGGTAAGTTGGTTAGCGGTTGGATGTGTCAAAAAGGATTTGGTGCAATGGAAAATGCTCGATCCTTAGCGATCACCACAAGCATCACATCAATGCCTTTCCAGCCGAACCTCATTTCCAGATTGCGAATCTGGTGTTTCAATGGACGCAGAGGGAAATCCGGAAAGCGTTCATATGATCCCGAAACCAATCAAGGCAGATGATGTTTTCATTCCCTGGAGTACTCTGTTGATCGATCTAAATCATCACGTGGATTTCAGTACCTACTCATCGATGAAGGCACTGGCCACACTTTGAATGTGCCCGGGCGATACAAATCCTTTTCTCAACAATTTACGGAGCAACAAAATCAACGCATGGATGAAAATTGGAAGGCTCAGTCCAGTTTGAGAGAAAAATATATCAAATCACACCAAAAGTCGTCTCTCCCTTTCTTCAAATTTTTAATTAAGAAGCAATAATCATCCAATACAGGACTGTAACTACCTAGGTATACAAACACTCTTTCAATCTGGTGAGGACACTGAATAAGGTCGCCATGATTCAGTAATTATCACTACCTATCAGCAAGAACCCTGAAACAAAGAATATCCGTATTAAACCACAAATTATTTCGGCACCGAACCTTATTCACGAGGCAACTGATAAAACCGAACATCAGATGAATTCACTCAAAGAAAAGATTCGAATTTCATGCCAAGTAGCTAGTCAGGTACCGGTACCCAGAAACGTGGTGAAAAGTCCGAGGACGCGGCACGGCTTGTAAAATGGGACTAAATGATGAAGGGCTGAAAAGACGCTATATCTTAGGCGACGAAAAACCTTTGCCGGTGACATAGACGCTGACGAATTTCTCAAAACAAATGACGGCGCTTACGAAGGCGTGTTTGATGGCCGACTACGAGATCTCGAGGCTAGACCTCTTCTCGATCATTTGTACAGGATAACATTGTTTGATATGTTTGACTTGGAGACCTCGAAATTAATCAATTATCTTGGTCGTCTCTTCTTATGGTTCTTCTGTCAAATATACGCTCTGTGCGGTGTTAGAAAACGACCTTTAAGAGGGGCGAGTCACAACAGATAGACATAAGTATATGGTTAACCAACAAAGTAGGTCTCCTAGATCAGACCTTTTGATGGAGCTGGATAGACCTCAAGTGAGGACTTTCAGTTATAATCTACAAGGCGCAGTAAGTTCTATATTGTAGGAATTCTTGGCCAACAATTTAGACCTATGAAAAGTCAACATATTCCGACAATTGCTTGCAATACTGAAGGTACCTAAGGAGAGTGCTTATTCTTTATCATCTTGTTGGTTGGTTCTCTCAATTTCCATTTCCCCAGTGTCGATTTCTGGAACTTCATCTAGTCCTCGCTCAATTGAGTTGTTAAGTCGTTTCTGTTATATTTTATTATCTTGTGTCAAGGCAAGTATCTGGTACAAGCATTTTCATCTTCAATACCTCAAGCTCCTTGAGATATTCTTCTATATTCATATCATTTTGCTGCCGAACAGTCACAAGCAGTCATTAAGTCCGTCTTTCACTATTAATAACCATCCAATAAACACGCAACGTACTGCACTCATGTCTTCATGACTTTCCAAGTCTTTCATTGCAGTTCTCACAACCATTGTGTAAGTCAATTTTAATTTCATTTCCCAGCCACTCACTCAATCTTTACACCATCCAGTTTCTCACCTGAATCGAAATCCATTTTTTCTCGTGGATCCCTTGCGAAATGCTTCTCAGCTCTCAATACAAAATTATCATCTACCTCTTCCCTCTCCTCACACCATCAATATATGCAGAAACAACACAGATATGTGATTCTACAAATGCAACAACGAAATCTGGAAGATACACATTCTTCCCAGATATCACAACGACTGATAAAGATGGGTATCAATGTACAGATGTGAGTCATTCTCCTCATCACAAAGAAGAAATAATAAACGAAAGTGCTAATTCCATCTCCCCAAGTTCTCCCTCGCCGACGAAAACAGCGGAAGCGTAGGTTCAACAACTCAATTCAACACCACTTTCTCCTGGTCCTCCCCCGATATCTCGACCCCGCACTCCTTCCCCTCCCTAGCCCTCAATCTCCCCTCCATCCTCCCCGTCTCTATTTCCAACATTTCCCTCTTCCCACTCACCAATAACTGGGCTCTCTACCCCGGCAATCCTCTCCACACCATTTCCGCCACCACCCCCGATTCCTTACTAAACGCATCCGTCATCGCAGCCTGCTACCTGAACATCTATCTCGATCTCGAGCCCTCCCTCTCCCTCGACAAACGATTCTCCGCCACCAAAATCTCCATCTGGCAAGCCAACTACGGCGGCTTAATCCCCCTAGGTTACAACGACACCGCATCCACCATCACCAGGCCGGTCATAAACCTCGCGGGAATCTCCTACACTCTCTACGTATCGCAAACCTCCCCATCCACTTCCTCTTTCCCCACTTCGAATTTGAGTTCCTCCACAGTAGCAAACGATGAACCACGAGTCCCACAGACAATATACACATGGTATCCCTCCATCAACGCCACCACGCTCACCGCAATGGATATCTCCCCCCTGCTCAATTATCTCTGGAGAGAAGTATACATCTCGAGTAACGCGTATGTAGGATTTGTAGAGTGGGGATTAGATGCGCGGAATGGTAATGGGAATATCACGTGGAGTGTGTATGAAACGGGGATGACTGTTAAACCAGGGACCCCAGTGAGAGCTGTGGGCATGGGCAGGAGGAAAGAGGTGGGAAGGGGCGAGATGCTGGCGTTGGTGGGCTTGTTTTTCGGGGCTGTGATGTTGTTTGGGTAGGATTGGGGTGAGAGGGGCGGTGGGATGGAGCGGGGGAGGGGATGGAGAGAAAGTGCATTTTTGAGTCTTGGAGCGAGAGCAGGGATGAAGAGATTGTGTAGATCTTGTTTTCTTTTCTGTAAAATTTGGTTACACTCATGAAAATTGATTGTATATTAAGAATAGTGTATGAAATTCAAAATTCATCATGCAGAAGGTTTACAAGATCATGTCATATCATCTAAGCACGAAGAAAAAAGCACAATCATCGTGATAAACATTTCACTCTAACTTCCACTTCCGGTTCGAGGAAAAAGAGAGGGAAATCGAGATGAAGGAAGCGAGGTGAATTTTCACGTTGTTTTAGTACCTAGGTAGTTATAGTTACAATTACAATATGATATCATATATCTTTGTTTCATCTCTCAGGACCTCCAGTCACATTCTAAAGTTATTCCGCTTTTCTATTCTTACTTGTCCATCGATAATGAAACGATGTAGGAAGTGCTGGGTATGGATATCGACTTCAAAACAAAAATTCCACATGAGAAGGTAAAGCACCAAAACAAAAAGATATCTCACTATCCTACATCCAAGAAACCAAATGAAGAGAACAGGAGCAGACACTATCGCGAAAAGATATTGAGGAATCTTATACATGATATTTCAAACCTTTTAAATTCTTATATCCTACAACTTTTCGTCTCATTATATCTAAGCTTTCAAATGTGAAGTGTCTACCTCGAGATCACTATCTATCATGTTGAAGCTATTTATCAATTTATTATTATTAATTTTTTTTAAAAAAATTTGAAAATTTATTATCTCCCTACATACACTTTTTTGAATCTTAACCTTCTTTTCAAGTCCTCCAAGGGTTTTATTCAATACATGAACCCGACTAATATTCTAGTCGTGCCGTTCGATAACCAAGTACAACATAGGATATATTCAGTAATCCAACGAAGCCACTCACCAATATAAAAAGCCTAATCCATCCGCTGATATTCTATTGAAAGTTTTCCGATGGCATTGTCGCATTTCCTTTTGTTCCCCTCTTCTATCTCTTGTCATATCTCATCACCGCTTCTCATATTCTCGCATTCCAATCATTCCAGAATCTACCATGTCCTCTCCCTCTATTTCTTCGGAAACTTAACAAATCCCATCATCCTATATTTCGTAATCGGTTCCTCATCAGCCACCATTTCAGTTGGTCTCGAGTCCCCCGGTAATTCATTTATTGCACCCGACATAAATGTATTGGGTGCAGAAGTTGCAGAGTTTACATCTGATTTGTGGAGGATAGGTGATGTGGCAATGGTATCATTCTGTAATGTGTTAGTATCATATATTTTTGGGGGTGAAAAAAGAAAGCAAAGAGGCTTTCAAGATGATGTAGTGGGCGAAATTCCCGAGAACCGTCGATCAAGAAGGAACAAAAAATAGTACTAACTGCAGTTAGAGGAATCTTCCTGACCACTCCCCTTTCCGCCTTCGAAGGATCGATCCATGCCATGACAATCGCGGCCTCCTCATCTGGCAATGACATGAACGCCATTGCGAATGAATCAGATTTAATAGTAAGCTCTCTTGAAACTGCTATTTTTCTGATATCCAACGGACTAGAATTTAGAGCCGAAATCAAATACAAATGCCCCTTTTCATTGACCATAGCTAACTCTTTTCCAGATGGAGAGAAACTAGCGCACTGAATACGACTTCCCAACTTTCCAGATCGATTAGGCGCGGTTCTTATATCTGTTTTTTGACCTGTTTTAGGATGGACGAGGACTGGTACACCGGATTGTGTCCAAGTCGTTATACACACCAGAACTTCTTCAATACCCGTTCTTGACCGAAAAATAGCAGACGAGAGACCTCTATCTTCTGACTCATGTAAAGGAACATGATATCTACAAGAAACTAGTTCTTGAGACGATTGCATTGGAGTCATCCAAAAATATATTTGAATAGCTCCACTTTTGGCACTGCGGGTACTGGCAAGAAGATGCATCCCATCGTCAGAGTAGGAAAGGGTTTCTACCTCCGGACAGTCTTCACATTCACTATGAATGCGACTATGAAGTCGATCCTCTCTAGGTTCGGATGATTGAGTGGTTTTGAAAAAGTACACTGTTGCGTTTGTAAAGCCTACTGCGACGGTGCTTTCGTTGGGGGATATGGCTATGCTGCTTACCCAAAGATTTGGGGGTAAGGGATACTCTACAACCGGAGCTGATGTTTGCAAGTTGACTATTCTAAGCTAGTTTAATGTTAGTAATTAGATAAATCATTAGGAAAGTGCTATTGACCGAAAGGACATACTGTGAGCTTTGGATCTCGGGTGCCAATTATATAAGCTAAATACATTTTGGTTACAGATGCCTTATAACAGCTACTCTCCGTTGGGAATACACGGGTCATCGCGGGAGGGGATGCTCCCATATCCCAAATTTGTATTAAAGATTGAGTCCAGAATAGGCCATTCGTTGAGTTTTGTGACAAGGAAATATTGATTGCCTTAGCGCTTTTGCTTTTCGAAGTCTTTCTTGGTACTCGTACCAAACTTTCTAGATTTATTTCGTCGAGTCTTTGAGCCTCTAGTGCTGATGAGGAAAGTGATGTAGTTTCGACGGACTGTCCAGGAACAGACTCCTTTCGCGTTCCAGTGAAAACCGATGTCCATTTGGATCCACCTTTTGACTTTTTTCTATCAGAATGGCTCTGGCCTATTGTTGGTCGGTTGACAAAATAAGTCCCGCCTTCAGAGTTCATTCCATACGGGGTATGATCATTCGGTGAAGTATTACCAACGGAATCTGGAGAGAATGGCGTCTCGTCTGTAGTAGTAGAGTTTTTCCGAAGCTCTGGTATTCTCGAGGGTTCACCTGACCTCGAATCATCCAGTGATACCAAGTCAGAAGAGGAAGAAGGTAGGGTAATAGGGGTGTCTAGTCTTTGGCTGAAAGTACCAACAGTAGGCGACACTTGAGACGGCATAGTATGAGGTAAAGACCTAGACCGATCTTGGGCAGCTGCGGAGACAAAAGTTGTCTTGTTGTGAAAGGGTGAAGGTGGTTCAGTATCATATGTACGCATCTTCAAATTGCTTGTACTTGAATTACCGTAGGCTGGATGATAGGGGATTGCTCCATCCATTTTCGGCGGTGGAAGTTGGAAGTATGTGGGAACGTATCGTTCCAAATGCATAGCGTCTGCATGGGATTCAAAGGGCTCAAGAAGATCCCAAACTTGCCTTGCAAGCGCCATCTCACGCATTATTGTAACCGGTTCTTCGCATTGAACGCACTTTGTCTTTGAGGGTAGTCTAACTTCATTTATATCTGGGTTTTCCAACTGAGCATAGAGATCATCGTCAGCATGCTATTCCATTCGCGTCAGTCCACATTCAGACTATTGCTCGGAACCTTCCCGAATAATTATGTCAGAAGTTAAATTCTAGTAAAATATTTGGCGTACCGGAAATTTCAGATTCTCTAGGTATCTCATCTGTGAGGCACCAGCTATATGACATTTAGAGCAATTGAGCGTATATATCCTCGGTCTTGACGATTTGGCATGCCGGCTTGGATCATCAAGAGCAAGAATCCTTTTCGTAATTTCAGATATTGTATGCATCATCTCCCTATCACTCACGCGACTTATTATTTGACGATCATTGAGTCGCAGACATAGTGCATCTATTGCATCCAACTCCTTATCATCTATTTCCATCTGCATTGACTGTCTCCTCAAATCTGGTGTATCTGGAAGGATGATTCGATATTGATCAGTAAAAGTGCCGACCAAATCTTCTTTGGAGAATCGTGTCGGGATTCGCATATTCTCAATCGCTCGTAAAACTGCATTCCTCGTTCGTTCTGATGCTGCTGGAAGATATGCATCGCGACTTTCTCCATTTATCGTATATTGAACCGAAGCTGCGACGACGAATTGAGTAATGTCTCGAAGTGCCAGGAATTGTGCGAGCCATCCACCTCCCCCACTGCCTCCTCCTTCTCCTCCTCCTCCTGAACCATCTGCAAGTATAAGAGTAGACACATATTTTGTCGAGAAGCAATCGCTCAATGGATACTGTGATGAAGAAGTGTGGCAGTCAGTCTAGATTCGTAGATTTCGATTAAAAGGTTCTAGAAGGGTACTTAGAAAGCTTAGGCCTAGCGGAGCCCCATAAGTAAAACGTGAATATAGTGGCTCTTACCAATTCTTCTGCTAAATTTGGCAGTTCATCCCTTAATTTAGAGGGTAAAGCTAGTGGGTTAGGCTCCGAACCCCGCAACGATTCAGTTATTTCTTTGCAAACCAACAACAAAAATGATTTCGGTCCTGGATAACTGTCAAACATATGTTCGAGTGAGCGATGAATGCGCCCAAATCTATCTCGACGAATCTTTCTCTGCAATTCGATTTTCGATTGAGATTGTCCATTGGATGGCGGCTGCGGTAATAGTTGGAGGACACGAAGCGCAGATAGTAACAGTTCGGCCAAGTACTTGTCTCTCAATTGTCGCGACTCCCATAAACTCTCTCGACCTTCGATAACAATGTGTAAGACAAATTCGATCATCCGCAGAGTCACCTCCCAGCTAGCCAGAAATCCAAAATACCATCCATCTTTTTGAAGCTTCGCAGATGGGATAGAAAGGCGTTGTATATAAAAAATGGCGTTGAGTTGAGCAAATAGCGTTATTACCAGATTTTGATAGGTTTCCTTATCGCCATCAGAATATACTTTTTCGAGGGAAAACTGCCCCACCAGTTCCAATATTATACTATCGACGTCGCTGCGCAGGGACAATAGTTTCCAAATGTTTGCTAGACGTGTAAATTGTGGTGATGCGGCCGAGGCTGGAGTCGGCATGGTGTGTTGATGGCATGAGCTCTCAATCTACGTAGTAGCTTCAACGATTCGAAGCAGTCTGGTCGCCACGTGGGCTGACTCCCTCAACTTGGTGCCGCAATAATGGCAAGCTTTGAGAGTATATCATAAGTATGAT